AGTGAGGCGCGGGGGCAACACCGAGGGTTGCGATCCCGTTGCCGGTCCCGGTCCGGTACGGGGGCGACACTGAGGGTTGCGATCCGTTGCCGGACACAAAAAAAAAGACAAAAAAAAAAAAAAAAAAAAAATTAAAGTGAAACATTGTTAACGAAACATCATTTCTAAAATTGATGCAAGAATAAGAAAATTGATTTGAACAACGTGAAAGAAAATAAAGTTGTCCCTCACAAGATATGAGAGATTAGTATCACTTAACATTAAAGAAATAGACAATTACTCTCCTATACAAACTGTTATAATGAAAAGGGAAAGCTAACTCAAAAAAAAAAAAAAAAAAAAAAAAAAAAAAAAAATTAAAGTGAAACATTGTTAACGAAACATCATTTCTAAAATTGATGCAAGAATAAGAAAATTGATTTGAACAACGTGAAAGAAAATAAAGTTGTCCCTCACAAGATATGAGAGATTAGTATCACTTAACATTAAAGAAATAGACAATTACTCTCCTATACAAACTGTTATAATGAAAAGGGAAAGCTAACTCACTCATTTTATGTGACCAGTATAACCCTGATATCAAAACAAGATGAGCTCAGGAAAGCAAAATAAAATTGTAAGCCAATTTTACTCATGAACTTAGGTGAAAAAAATCCTCTATAAAATATCAAGTTGAATATTTCAGTGGATAAATATAAAGTAGTTCACATATTCAAATTTACGTGGGTAGTTCAAATCTAGAAAATCTCTGACTTTAATTCATGATATTAACTAATTAGTTTGCTTAGGCTGCCATAACAAAATGCAACTGGCTGGGTGGCCTAAATGACATAAACTCATTGGCTCAAAATTCTGGAGGCTGGAAGTCCAAGATCAAGGTGCTGGCAGGTTTGATCTCCTGAGTGAGGCGCTCTCTGTGGCTTGCAGGTGGCCACCTTCTTACCATGTACTCACATGGCCTTTGAGCCCGTGCATCTCCAGTGTCTCTTTGTGTGTCCAAATTTGCTCTTCTTATAAGGACGTCAGTCAGATTGGATTAGGGCCCATCCTAATGGCCTCGTTTTAACTTTATCACTTCTTTAAAGGCCTTGTCTGCAAATACTTGTACAGTCACGTTCTGAGGTACTGAGGGTTAGCACATCGACACATGAATTTTAGGGGACACAATTCCGCCCATGACACTGACTAAAGAAGATATGCTGTGTGATTACCAGAACGGATACACAGTATTTCATAAAAATTAGCAAAATAAGAATAGAAGAAATTTCTTAAAATAATAAAAGGTATCCATTCACAAACCCACTTTAGCAAATATAAAAATGCTGGTTCTGGGAACTCGCCAAGAGAATTTTGGACATGGGAGTTCTATTATTTTTCTATTGCTACTGTATTGCGACAAATACACCTGCAAAGAATCTTCAGCAGATGCGGAGCTGCATTCATCCTCTCACTGTGTCTAGGGGTCAGAAGTCCGGGCGCAGTTGGCTCAGCTTCTTTTCTGCCCTGGGTTTCACCAGACTCAATCAAGGTAACATACACCTGATGTCTTATCTGGAGGCTTGAGGGGAGAAACCACATCTAAGTTCATTCAGGTTGTTGGCATAATCCGGTTCTTTTCAGTTGTAGCACTGAGGTCCCCATGCCTTGCTCAGTGTCAGCTGGGAGCCTCTCAGCTCCTTAAAGCCCTCTGCATCCTTTTCACATTGCTCTCCATCTTCAAAGCAGGAAGGAGTGCCAAGTCCTCCTCACACTCTGAATCTCTGCTACTTCCATCCAGAGAAAGTCTCTGCTTTTAAGGACCCATCCAGTTAGATTGGGCCCACACAGGGAATCCGATATTACCTCCCCATTTTAAGGTCCCTAACCTTAAACATATCCACAAAGTGCCTAGTGCCAGATGACTTCACATCATCACAGGTTCTAGGAATTAGGGCACACACATCTTTGGGGTCATTTTGCCTACTACAGCACCTGAGATCCCTGACAATGATATGGAACAACCTTCACCTTTCAGGGGAAGCATCTGAATGGACAGATTGCGACTAGGAATCTTCAACAGACGGTGAGCTACAAACCTGCACCAGGGACTAGCATGGTTAAGGTATAAATCCGTTGGTTAAAGTTCACTTGCTTTGAAATCATCTTGTCTGCTTTATGCATTTTTTAAAAATAGGTAAAAAGTTGTTACACTGGGCCCCAAATGTAGTAAGAAAATTGTGACTGTATTTTACCAGTGTCCCACAATTTTTGCCCTGAGGAAATAAAAGTGTTTCTCCATTTTCCCCACTTCCTGGAAATGATCATATGGTTGTGCTAAGAGGTTTTAGCTGAAGGCAACAGAAACACTGACTACCATCTATCTGTTTCTGTTGTCTGATGTATTAAACCAGCTCTGAGGTGTGGGGCATGTGGGCAATTGAAAAATACCAGTTTTCAGACAGAGGTAGGAGCAGCACAGGTAATTTCTGGAATATAGGAAATACAGGGCATTAAGGGACAGTGAAGCCCTTGTGGCTGGTCTCCATCTTTCTGCCCAAGCATAATTTTTAAAATTATTAAATGAAAAAAAAAAAAAACAAACAAACTATAGAAATATTAGAAGAAAACACATGCACCATGAAGTAATCTACAGAATTACTGACAACATGTTTAGATCTTAAATAGCAAGAGTTTAATAAGATCTACAATCCATGTCATTTGTATAAATAATGAATATATCCACACAAAGAGCAATATATATTTTGCTGGAACACTTACAAATCAAAGGATATACAAAAAACACATTAGAATGATTGACCATGAAAGTGGAGGAAATCAAAGTGAGGAATGGGAATACTGAAAATTATCTATGAAAATTAAAAGGAAAATACAAATGACAAATAATAAAAAAATATTTAAATATAGTTGACATATTTGTTTATTTTTTTAAAGATTTATTTAACTTTCAGTAGATATTTTTTAAAGATAATATTATTTGTAATCCTGGTGTTCAGTGTCAATCTGTTTTCGAATGTAAATAATTGGTATCACTCTTCACATGTGTTATGTCTAGGTCCAGACATATATAAATATAATTTTGAATCATTTAATAACATTTTCCTCAGCTGCCATGTTCAATGCTTGTAAATATCACATGGAACCATGAATGAAACATAAAGAGAAGCAAATAAATCAATGCTCAGCACTAGCAGAAACAATAACTTCATTATGCAAGTACATTTGCATGTATGCTTGGGTGGAAGGGGAACAAGGTAACTCTTGCCTTACCTAAGCACTCTACCAATCAAATTCTCTTGCACATCAAAGCTTGCCTGTCTCCAGTGTTGGCCACAGTCCACTCAGAGCCCCTCAGGACATTCAGACTTAGTCATTTTTTTATTTTGAAGAAAAATGGAAAGAGATATGGAAAAGTGTTTCTATGGAGTCTGAAAGTTGTTAGCCAAGAGAGTGGATGTTTAGGGTTTAGGGTTTATGGCTTATGTTTACCAGCACTGAGCACTGGGTTTTGAGTGACAAAAATCCATACACTCCTTAATAAATTTATATGTGTGTGTCTGTCTCATATGGGGACATTTAAATCATCGCCCAAGACTGGAAACCCTATTGCCTGAGAGTAAGTTTGGTTTTTTGACCTTATGCATTCTGGCTCATCGGCTCAGGAGCAGAGGAAAGAGAAAGCTGATTGAGTTGTTCCTAAAATCTGAGTCTTAACAAAGTAGGATGGCATGAGGTTAAGGAAATAATTTCTGACAAGGAAGGAGGTATATTTTTGAAACAACAATACACAGTGTGAAGCTAGATCAGTGTGAAAAACTGGGAAAAATGAGAGAGATTAGAAGACTGGAAACTCAAAGCGTGATGAAGAGCAGGTTTAGGAAAGATGGCAAAAAGAATGAAAGTAGAATTTACAATCTTCTGTCTTGGAGATGGAATATCGTTGACTACTAGTGAGGTTGGCACACGGTTCTACAATTTGGTAGATGAAGCAGTGTGAGGAAGATGCCGGGTATATAAAAGGATCATTATCCTGGACGGAGATGTCCCCAAGGATAGTGTCAGAGAAGGGAAAGAGAGAAGGCTGAATTTGCTGCTGAAATAGTCTATTGAGAGAGTATCCTACAGGTTTCCAGACTTTGACAGTAGGCCTGGAGTTATTGATTTGAACTTCAATTACGTGGGCAAAAAGGAGAGATTACAGTGAAAGTACAGCACCTGCAAATTACGGATAACAGCAAGTAGGACAGAAATTGTTGGGAAACTGCCTGAAGTTAACATGACAGCTGTAAATTAGGAAAACTACAGAACAGGTCAAATTGCATTAGCAGAGTAGATTTTAAATGGAGGTTTTTCCTCTGATATAGTTCAGGAGCAGTGGCAAGGGTAGAAAGGGGGTTTAAAAAGCAAGGAGGAAAGAGATACCGAACAAAAGACAAGTGCAATTCTGCAATTAGAAAAAGCAACACGAAAGAGGAACGATTAATCGCCAAGCTTCCTGAACACCAGCTAAATAAACTTTGACTTGCTGAGTGGTAGAGGCATTGGAACGAAACACCCGCAACCAGGACACAACCGGAGCCGACTGCTGGAAACGGCGGGGCGGGGTGCGGGGGAGCTGGACGTGCCGGCGGCGGGACGTGGTGGCGGGACGTGGTGGCGGGACGTGGCGGCGGGACGTGGCGGCGGGACGTGGCACCGCGCCGCACGCTGCTGGTCCTCCCGCCGGGAGGCTGCTCTGCTGCGGAGTCGCGGGCGCGGGGTGAGGTGGTCGCAGGCCCCCGAGCGCCCCCGCACTGTGGCTCTCTCCCGCCCTGGGCCGGTCGACTTAGGCGGCCCGTATGGCTCGTTAGTGAAGCCGCCTCGCGTTCGCGCTGTTCTCGGTGAGGCCGCGCCGGGCCCCGCCGTCTTCTCCCTGCACGTGCACGCGGAGGGCCCCCGGACCCACCCTCAGCCTCCCTGCGCCCCGAGGCGCCCGCATCCCGTCCGCAGGTCCCGCGTGCTCCTCTGTCCCCGCCTTCCCTCTGTCTGATCCTTGGCCCGTGCTGTCTTCCCTGCGACTTCCTGAGCTTCTGCCTGTCCCCACCCTGCCCGAGGTAGAGCTCACTGAGCCGAGGTAACACTGGTGAAGCCGAAGCTGGTGGAGGCGACGAGCGGGTAATAGATGTCCTAGGGGTTCTGGCGACTCACGCGTTTGCTCGGGGACCTGCTGGGCTCCTGGCTGGCGACAGCCGCCAGGACGTCGCCTTACCGCACCCCTCGGCCCACCCTGGGCTCGCGGAAGTTTTGTTACGCGGGGGCAGCAGCATTTGCTTCGGGGTGAGCAGCACCAAGAAAATCACGCCACGCAAACGCTGAGACGTGCTCTGGGGATTCGTGAGATGGTGACCTGCAGCAGCACAGAAGTGGGAAATGGGGCCGGAGATTAGAATTGGGACCCCACCGTGGAGGAACTTCTTCACCTAGTCAGTGCTCTCTGCTGAGCAGCAATCCTTAGAGTCCATTCCCTAGCAGTTGAATGTCTGCAGCAAATTTCCTAGAGATCCTCTGTTGTGTAATAGAACTGTTCTGTGACTTGATCTTCTCTAAAATGTATCTGAAAACCCCGTTATTCAGCAGTGGACTCTTCCTATGCAGCACTTCTCTCTCCAGTCAGCAGCCGTGGCCTTGTGATGCAGTTACGATTCCAGCTGGTGCAAGGGATGAGGAAATAAATCCTACCTCCATCCTCCCCACTGTCCCCCAAGGCGTCCCGCCCTCTCTCAGTGCCCAGCTACCTTTTTCCTTCCCTCCTGGGTGTCTGTCTGATGTCTACTCTGTCCTGTTTAGCATGTGGGCCTTCCTGATGAGACCTGAGTACATTCTGTGCCTGTCTTCATCCTTATCAGTGATGTCTCGGCTCAGTGGTGGCCTCTTGCCCAGGTATGTTTGAGAAGGAAGGGCTGGGTGGCTTCTCTTTCCACTGGAAGTATGCCGAGGGCCCCTGAGGGAAGGAACTTTCTGATATGCCCTCCTGTGCATTGCATGGGTGATATCTCTAGGACTTCAAGTACCTCCTTTCCCTTGCAGGATTAATAAGACTCACCTGACCCCCTCCTACCTGAAGATCCGCGGAGTGGGTCTGGAGGTTGAGGGCCCCAACTTCACACTAGAAGGCTTTCCGTTCCTCATCATAGCGGACACTATGCACTATTTCCGAGTACTGGAGGGACCGCTTGCTGAAGCTGAAGGCCTGTGGTTTCAACACCCTCACCACGTCAGTGCCTGCCCCCTAGTACTTGTTTAAAGAATTTGTAATCTGAGTTCCTAGCTCTGAGACTTTATTGGACCAGTTGAAAGGTTGACCCTTTTAGTACTTTCTTTGTTGTTCTTAGGATGTCTGAGTCACTGGTTGATATTGTTGGGTATTGTTAAAATATAACCTTAATGTATGCAGTCTTGTAACAAATGCTTAAGCAAAGCAGCTTCTGAAAGGGGCCATAACAAAGGTCAGGCCCGAGCACACTAAACATTAATAGCTGCCACTGGTTCCCGGAAATAACTAGTTCCTTATCTAAAGGCCACCTAGCCAGGCCCCGGGAAAGATAAACAATTGAGAAATGCGCTATGGGGTGCCAGCGGGTGCCAGCCTGCTAAAGCCCACCTGTAAATCTAAAAGGCACCAGCTAAAGCCCACCTGAAAATCTAAAGGTGCCACAGATAATCAACAACTGATCCTATCACAAGATCTGTTCAGAAAGAACTGTATAAAAGCTGCTTGTATTGTAAATTCAGGGTCATTTATGTCTTGAATGCTGAGTGACCCCAGCTTGCTGGAAATAAAAAACTCCTGTGGATTGCATCGATCTCTGCCTCCTGGTCTTTGTGAGATAGGCCTTCCCAACAAGTAGGATTTGCGCTTTTGGGCTGGTCTTACAGTATCCTGAGAATCTCTGCTCCGGTTCCTCTGAAAGGCCTCTAAGCAGGCTGACTATCACCTGGATGCAAGATTCCACCTTTCAGAGGCAGTGGCAAGTACAGATGGCTGCAGCCCAGGTAGTCCCTACCTACTGGAGAAGTCTGGGACAGCAGGCCTCACGCCTCCTTGGATATCCTCACTTATCATACATGTCACAGCAGCAATGATGAGTCCCAGGATATGATACTGTTCCAGAAAATCTTCTCTTTGAAGATGGGTTTCATGGAGAACCAGGCCTGGAAAGTAATATATTCATCCTCATTCCAGAAGCTGAAATTAAAGAAAGTAAGTGATCTATTTCTATCCTCCTAAGCTTAGAAGTTGCTTATCTATAGTGTTTTGCCGATCAGTTTAGTCGTGTTTTCTTTTTTAATGATTGTTAAATATTTAAAAATATTTTTTAAAAATTGGTTTAGAAGAAAATATCTGGAATTTAGCTTGGTAGGTGATTTAATTTGGGTAGAAGAGCATTATCACAGAATATTGAGTAGATTTAGCATTATAAAGAACTGCATTACCCTTTTTTTCTTTGAATGCTAATAGCAAGGCCTGAAGGCACAAACCTAGAGTCTGACAAAATCAGATTTACTGATTTGCAGGGCTGCTGGGAGTGCCACGGGAACTGTGGAGGAGAAGGGGAGGAAGGGAGGGAGTTTTGTAAAGTCAAGTTCCAGCCAGAGGGTGCTGAGAGGAGTCCAGAAAAAGCAGGGGTAAACTCTGGATTGGGGTTGTTTCTGACAGAAAATTAGAAGAAATGGGACTAATTGGGGATTGGGTGCTGACATGCGGTAAGGGCAGTGTAGCAACTGAATCTCCCTGGTAATAGAAGGTTATAGCTAAGGGGGCCTGTGGGGGGATGGGCGAGAAGGCAGTGGGTTCTTCAGGGGGCTGGTTATGGGGTTCAGTAACAGCTGCTCAGCCCTGGCAGAAACCAGGCTTCCTGTTAACTCTTCATCTGGTTTTATCTGAGTCTGCCTCCCATCCTGAGGACAGCAGAGCTACTGTTTGTTTCCCAGTCTCAGCTGATTTTCACTCTTTCAGTTGTGGACAGGTTTTTAATTATCAAAAATTTTCATTATGAATTCAAAGAAGCACCATCTTCAGAGCCAGTGGATCTTGACCAGTGTCTAAACACACAATGATGGGTTTTTTTGTTTGTTTGTTTGTTTTTTCCTTTTTGTCTTTTTTTCCTGTCCGGCAATGGATCGCAACCCTCAGTGTCGTGCCTGTACCGGACCGGGACCCGCAACGGGATCGCAACCCTCGGTGCTGCGCCCGCACCTGCTCAGCCAGTGAGCGGGAACCGGTCTGTATGTGGGATCCGAACCCTCGGCGGGAGCGCCGCCGCACTCCCAAGCGGCGCACTGTAGCAGTGCGCCACTGGGCCGGCCCGCAATGATGGGTTTTTTAAAAAAGTTTTTAAACTTATTATTTATTTATTAAGAATATTCATGAGATACAAAGCTAATTGTCACCCCTCCTGCCCATGATGTGAGGGCCAGATTCATACTGGGGGCATACCCATTACCAGAAATTACATTTGTACTCTGTGTTCCCACCCAATTATCCCCCAATCTCCCTCCTCCTGTCGTGGGGCGAATGCACAGAGGAATCCAAGACTGGCATCAGTGTTGTAGTTTTCTAGCTCTTTATTTTAGTGTTGCAGCTTTGTTCAGTGTTACAGTGCCTCTTTTTGCTTGCAAGCAAGGAGAGCACTGAAGGGCAGAAAACTCCCAAGCCAGTGTCTCCCAGAACATAGGAAAAGACCCCCTTGTATAGCCTAAATTCCTGCCCTTCTCCCTCCCAGGTTCTCATTCAGGTCCTCTTATGTAAACGAGGGATGCTGTCCTGCTAATTTGGATTGGCTGATTATGGGACACAGTCTGTTGGTCACTTTAGGAGCCTAATTTGCCTCTGGCCCCTGGGGAGTGTGAGACTGCTGTTATCTCCTAGAGGGCTGGCCCAGGAAGCAAGCAGGGTAAATGGCAGGGACCAGAGTCTGCAGTGGAGCACAGAGTTTCTAAAACAGTTTCTCAAGTGGAAAAGGGAAAAGCTCAACAATTAAAAATGCTTAGGGTTCCCTGCAACACTCCCCCTCTCCTGTCAACTCCACTTTGTAGCCCTAGAAATGTTCCCTCCCTCTGTAAGACCACGGCACTACTGTGGTCTTTATTTCTTGCCTTCCTTTCTCTCTTAGCTCCCACTTATGAGTGAGCACATGCAGTATTTATCCCTCTGTGCTCTGCTTATTTCTCTCAACATAAGTTTCTCCAGGTTCATCCATGTTGTTGCAAATGGGAGTATTTCATTCTTTTTTATGGCAGAGTAGTATTCCATAGTGTATATATACCACAGTTTTCTTACCTAATCATCTATTAATGGACATTTAGGTTGGTTCCATATCTTGGCTATTCTAAACAGAGCTGTGATGAGCATGGGGGTACAGGTATCTCTTCAGCATGATGATTTCCATTCCTCTGGAAATATACCCAGAAGAGGGCTTGTTGGATTGTATGGAAGATCTATCTGTAGTTGTTTGAGAAACCTTCATACTGTTTACCAAAATGGTTGTACTAATTTACAGTCCCACCAACAGTGCAGGAGTATTCTCTCCTCTCCACACCCTTGTCAGCATTTGTTATTCACTGTCTTTTTGATTATAGCCAGTCTAACTGGACTGAGGTGGTATCTCAATGTGGTTTTAATTTGCATTTCACTGATGACTAGTGATGTTGAGCATTTTTTCATGTACCTGTTGGCCATTTGTATGTCTTCTTTTGACAAATGTCCATTCAGCTCCTTTGCCCATTTTTTAATTGGGTCATTTGTTTTTATACTGTATAATTGCTTGAGTTCCATGTATATTCTGGATATTAATCCCTTGTCAGATGCATAGTTAGCAAAAATTTTCTCCCACTCTGTAGGTTGTCTTTTCACTCCGTTGATTATTTCCTTTGCTGTGCAGAAACTTTTTAGTTTGATATAGTCCCATTTGTTTATTTTTTCTTTTGCTGCTTGTGCTTTCAGGCTCATGTTCATAAAGCCTGTGCCCTGACCTAACTGCTGAAGTGTTTCACCTGTATTTTCCCTTAGTAATTTTACAGTTTCAGGTCTTACACTTGTCTTTAATCCACTTTGAGTTGATTTTAGTGTATGGTGAGAGATGCGTATCTAGTTTCATTCTTCTGCATATGGATATCCAGTTTTCCCAGCACCACTTGTTGAAGAGATAATCTTTTCCCCAATGTAGATTTTTGTTGTCTTTGTCCAATATCAGATGGCTGTAAGCCAGAGGAGTGATTTCTGGTTTGTCAATTCTACTCCACTGGTCTGAATGTCTATTTTTATACCAGTACCATGCTGTTTTGGTTATAACAGCTTTGTCGTATAATTTGAAGTAAGGCAGTGTTATGACTCCAGCTTTATTTCTTTGCTCAGGATTGCTTTGGCTATTCAGGGTCTTTTGTTTTTTCATATGAAAGGTAAGGTTGTTTTTTCCATTTCTGTGAAGAAATGGTAATGTCATTGGTATTTTGATGGGGAATCTGTAGATCACTTTGGGTAGTATAGACATTTTCACAATGTTAATTCTTCCAATCCAAGAACATGGAATATCTTTCCATATTTTTATGTCTTCTTTAATTTCTTTCAGAAGTAGTTTGTAGTTCTCATTGTAGAGGTCTTACACCTACTTGGTTACACTGATCCCTGGTATCTTATGTTTTTCATGACAGTTGTAAATGGGCTTTCTTTATTTCTCTTGCTGTTAATTCATTATTTGAGAATATAAATGCTACTGATTTGGGGACATTTATTTTGTATCCTGCAATGCTACTGAAGTCATTAACCTGCTCTAGGAGTGTTTTGATAGAGTCTTTAGGTCTTTCTATATACAGTATCATGTCATCTGCAAATAGAGAAAGTTTGACTTCATCTTTTCCAATATGGATTCCTTTTATTTCTTTGCTTGATAGCTCTAGCTAGTACCTCTAGTACTATGCTAAATAGAAGTGGTGAGAGTGGACATCCTTGTCTTCTTCCTGTCCTTCAGGGGAAGGTCTTCAATAATTTCCCCATTCAGAATGATACTGGCGGTGTGCTTGTCATAAATGGCTTTTATTGTGTTGAGATATTTTCCTTCTATACCTAATTTTTTGACAGTCTTTATCATGAAGGGATGCTGAATTTTGTCAAATGCTTTTTCAGCATCTATTGAGATAATCTTATGGTTTTTGTCCTTGAGTTTGTTGATATGATTTATGACATTTATTGACTTTCATATGTTACACCATCCTTGC